CGATCCTTCACTCTTGAGTTAGCGGATTGTCTTTTTAGGACATCCTGTATTCTCTATTTTCCATATCTGTTTTCCATACAAACGTTCCGCTTCCAGGATGCTGGGCGCAATTTGGTTACGTGGCGACCTACAAAAGCAGTCGATTTTCGCCGGTGGCCATCTCTTACCCGGCCAACGTCAACGCTGCATCGCCTCATCGTTCCCGCTCCTCCTCCAAGGCGGCGATGATGAACAGCAGCGACAGCATCAGCGGGTTTTCACTATATGTGCAGGTGTGTGTTTAGGTTATCTTGTTTAGCATAAATTTCTGCCTTATCCAACCTTTTTAGAACCTGCGGCATAAGATGGGCGGACGACGGTTGTTCGGGAACACAGCGTACGAGACGGCGTTCCCTTTCTGGCAGCAGATGGGCGGTGAAGAGAAACAAGTCTGGGAAGATCGGGCCCGCGTGCTGAAGGAGTTCCGCCAGGTAGCCCCATGGCCTCCAAGGCCCTTGATCAACATCTCCTTTTGACGGCTCAGGACCAGCAGAAGCGCATGTTCGGGCCAGCGCCTGCACCGCCCGGCTGGACCGGGCAACAACCGAAACCGGAAATCTCCAACAAGCCCAAGCCGCTCATCGAACGCGTCGAAGCCCCGCCGGCACCGCGCATCTACGCTCAGCCACCGCAGCCGCAGCGCAAGCCCGACTACTGCTGGGCCCCGCCACCGATCGCGGCCCGTGGCCCGCAGCGTCGCCGGAACCGACAGATCGCCAAGCCGAAGCCGATCCCGCTGCCGATCTTTCGTCCGCCCATCATTGACGAGATCGGGCAAGAGGTATATTTTCGTTCTACGTTCATTTCATCGCTTTTCTTTCCAAAAATTCGTTTTTATTTTTAGTTGGGGATCGATGAAGAAGACGAATGGGCCGTTGCCGCGCCGGAAGTTGATGGGGAGGGCACCCAGATGGCCGACGTCGAGGAGACCAATCGACTGCTCGACGAGAAGTACGAACACGACAAGCAGCGCGTCGCCGAGATGCTGAGGAAGCGCACCAACGGATGCCAGCACAAGATCAAGGTGTTTTTTTTAGTTTTGTCTTGCGAACATCGTTTTCTACAGAAAATGCGCTGGCTGATCTGCTCGACTCAGACGTACGGCCTCTTCGACGGAGCCACGTGCTACCCAGCCGAATTGGGCATCTGCGAGTTTGACTTCAACGAGGGCATCCTGGAGACGGTGATTTCATTTGTCTTTAGCTTAATAATTTTTTAGTTCTCGACCCCCGTCGGCCCGTGGAACATCGACAATGAGGTGCAGCGGACCCGCGCCCTCTACCACGCCAGCGAGACGCACCAGATGCCGCTGGGCCGCCGTGGACGTCTCGAGAAGCCGGCCGTCTGCATGGAGATCCTCGGGCGGACCGAGCCCCGGCTGGCCGCTGCTCACGGGGTGCGCGTCGGGCTGTACCGCGATGAGATTGACGACCACTCACGCGGTAAGCCGAAATCTCGCTTCCGTTTACCATGTCAGTTCTTTCCAGGCTTCTACCACCTCGAGCATTCCCCGAAGCGCCGCCCTCTCGTCTGCCTGCGTCACGAGTTCCGCCTCGTCCAAGCATCGTTGCGTGAGCTCTGCCAGAGCGTCAATTTGCAGTACGAAGGTGGATACCAGTCATTTTCTACTCAAAATTGGGCGTATTCTTCTGTGCCTTGATTCTCAAGAACCTTGCATTCGTCGAAACCTCGTGTATGCCCAAAAACGTGATATTTCCAAATGCTGCGAATATTCATTCTTTGCAGGGTTCCCGAAGGCCGACGACGATTTCATCCTGGCCGAAGCGCTGGTCGACGCCGTGGCCGAGTTTTTTGATGGAGAGCCGCTGCGCGAGTATCCGGCTTTTTTGAAGGGACTTGGCTCGAGGCTGCCGCGTGAGGTTCGTAGTTATTTCTCCTCCTCCTATAGACTATTCCATTTCAGTCGGTGACGCCGTGGGAAAAGCGTGACGGTGCCCTGTTCTGCCCCCTGCATCGCCCTGACCGGAACAGCTGCTGCGCTGCGGTGACGGTCAGCCGTGCGGCCTACATCTTGCTGTACGCGCTCGACCATATGCTCGATTAGCTGAAGCCGCAGCCGGAAAGCAACCCTCTTACAAAACTCGTCTCTTCGTCGTCTTCCTCTTACCAAACTGTTGTTGGTAGTCTTTAAGATGTTCTCTCTGTAAGATGGGGCCTATCTCTATCTGGCAATCTGTTCCCAAACAATGCGTGTGCCATGAAATAAATGGGTCAAATAAACGGTTTTTCTATGTCTACCTGGTTGTCCCACATTGCCATGCAACTACAGAGTGGTATTCTTGGCGCAGGTTGAAGAATAAATATTTGTATTCGGTTGTCATTGTCATTAAATGAAGATTGCATACACTGGTTATCACAAAATGCCAGAATCAAGTTGCGAGGTCACCGAAACCAAGCAGCCTGCCATGAATTTGCGTTCATGCGAAAAAGCGGAGCGCGCGTGTAAATACATTTTGAAACCGAGGGCAAGCGAAGTTGTGTTTTGTGTAGAAGACGGCGGATCGAGGAACTGAACAAAATCAGGCGTATGGCTTGGGGTGGGAGGCGGTAGGTATCGAGAAAAAAAGACGTAAAAGGCTTGTCGTCGCCAGCATCACAGACTCTCAAGAAAAAGGCACCAATAAGGGTTCCAAGCGAAGCACAAAATAAGCCAAAGTGAATTTGTCTGAGGCACAACCGAAATGGGGAAACGGAACAGGTAAATGGGATGGGACAATTTCAGCACATTTTTGCGAGGATTATTAAGTTTAGGGAGAGCAGCACCTTGTCGTTGATAATGGATATGTTGCACTGGGGGGACGGGGAGGGGATTGAGCAATTCGTATCGATTATTATATCCTATTATTGCAATGGATATACAGGTATTGTGTACCGCGGTGAACGTCACACGCGTGAGACTTGATTGTCGGCGCCTGAAAAAGATCCGGGGTTTTTTTGGTTGCTAATGTTTTGATATGGAAGCCTACTTGGTTATTTCGTATTATCCGGGGGGGAAAACAACTTTTAAAGTTTTAAAAAAAAAAAAGGAAAAAGTAAACCAAAACCTTCCATTTATTTATTTGTATGTGGGGGGAAATTTTCTAAAATTTTTTTTCATTCCAAAACGTACAAACTTTCTCAAATTTTATCAAAGACACAAAGCCGATTTCTCGACCCAAAAATGGACGGTTTTGATCCAATTTTCTTTATGACTTTGGAAGATTATTTTTCGCGGTGAAATATACTAATATTACGCACCTTCTTGTATGATATGCATTCGGTTGGTGGCTCTCGGCGGCGGCGCCATCACGACGGGTCGATGGCCAACGAGGAACGCCCGAAACGCGGACGGAGAAGCTGAGGCAGGGATAGACATCTTGGATGGATGGGAGAGGGGACGGCGAGAAGATGAGGACGACGTCAGGGATGATGTCGATGAACCGGTGACTCCAGAAGATGAGGGACACGGTGAAGGGGACGGCGTCTGTCGGTGTGGCCATGATGGACGCAGCGTTTGGTCGGGATCACCGACCCCCTCCGACATCGCTACTCGATGAGGTGGAACGGGTACTGAAAGCCAATACAATCATGGATTCCGACAAGGGGTCTTTTTAGGCGATTCTGGGGTTGTGTTATGTGAAATAGTGCATCCGACAAAGCTTGAACTCTGAACAAACTCCATCTTGATAGAGGTCTTCGAAAAAATCGTCGGTCCCTTCGCATTATCGGGGGACCAAGTTTTGCCTAGGAACAAACTTTTAAATAGAAATAGCGGACGTGTATCTAAACGCATTTTTTACTATTTCTAAGCGTAAAAGTTATATAAATTTTAGTAGAAAGATACAAAAAAAGACGATTTTTCGCTCGAAAATGTCCGTTTTTTACCAAAATTTCGATTTTTTTGATAGTTTGTAGATAGTTTCTCTAGTTGCATGTACCTTATTTTGCTAAACACTATTCAAATACTTCCTATTAAGTTGCTGGGAATTTCTAGAGTTATAAAAAAAATTTGATCGCCCGTTAACGCGCAAGAACCAAATTCTCTCTGAAAAGGCCGAATCGCCAAAGTTTTTGAAAAGGTGGGACTTGTTCAAAATTTCAAATTCTATCCAATGTCACATCGCAAAACTCCATTATCACCTAAAAACGCAAAAAAATTTAGAAATTCTTTCACTTACAACGGCAAAAAATTGCTCATCGTCGATGCGAGGCTGGAGGCCGAGTGGAGAGAATGGGGACGGGAGCGCATGGGTTCTGAAATGACGGCGACATGCTTGGAAATTATTTGGAAAATCGTGGTGAAACAGGAAATGATAACGTCATCCATCACCGCAAGGCACCCCGTGCGCTAATTATTGTTTTTGTTTTTGTTCCTGGAAAAGTGCGACAGTTTCGGCTAGACTAGACCGGCTTGGAAATAATACAAATATATATCTAGGCAGCCACAGTTTTAAAGGGTTAGAGAAGGGAAAGGGGGTAGGAGGGTGCAATTGGTGAGTGTATCATTATTCTCTCGCTCTATACCCACAATATATAGCGCGCGGAATGAGTGAAGTGAATGAATCAGATCAGCACGTCGTTGCCTGAAAGGTTGTACGCATTTTCCCTCTTTTTTGTAGTAGCCGTTTTGATTTTGGGAAAACCCTTTTACGATACTGATGTTTCTCATGAAAAGCTTTTTATCACAGTGCTTACCGTAGATATTAGTAACGGCACTCGTCTCGCGGTTCAAATCAACGGCCCGCTGCGGGAGACCACCATTTTCGGCCAATGACCCTCGACTCATACGAAGCATCCCCGAACCGGCCGATGACCTGCAAGATTCGTCATTTTTTTAAGGATTTTTCAAGCCGATTTAAGCTAAGAATTGAAAGGGTTTTTCTCGTTCTTGCCATAACTATTTCATTTCAGATCCTTTTAGCTTTAGGCCGCATTAAAAGCACTTAGCTTTTTCGAATGACGTCTTTAAAATCTCCAAAGGTAATTAAAATATTGAAAACTAGCATTTTTACCCCCATTTTTAGAGGTTACTTTTGTTGTTTTTAACTATTTTGTATTGCCAGATTTGGAGCAGCCATGAAAACTCGCAGTATATTTTTCGATGCGATTCGATAGAATGGCGCTGAGAAATGCCTAAAAATATCGAAAATCTCGAAATTTTTTGCCTCTCGCCCCTAATAACCGCTACAAGTGCGAATTCATCCCAGATTTGCCCAAGCCAAAATCAACAACACGGCCACACAGGGATTACGGCGCGACGAGAGGGATATCGATTACCTGGCTGAAACTGTGGTCCTGGATGGGATCGACCTGGAAGATGAAGCGGGGCTGGCCTGGCTTGATGTCGACTTGACCCTATAGCAACCCATTTATAAGCATTCCCGGGGTCCCACAACGGGATACCTCGAGTTTTGGACAAGGGCCAGCATCTTTTGGACGGCTTGCGGCGAGTCGATGCCGAATTTGGTGCCACCGCCGTTGAGGACTCGCTTCTGATCGGAGCCGGTGGAATGAGAGGAGATGGATGATGGAGTGGGGGATGGGGCTCTTCTGAAAAGGACAAGGGGGTGCGAATTGAAGCTGTACGTGAATGGACTATGGACATTGGCGATGCGAAAAGCTTTAAGGTACTTAGGACTAGACGATAGTTCCTAATTTGGTTCTTTAAGTTTTTCAGGGAATCCAACTGTTTTTCCTATCTTTCCAGGTATGAATAGTAAAGCCATAGCTAATAATTTAACAGTCTTTTTCGCAAAATTTAACGAGATTTCAAAACTTTAACAGCTGGTAAAGAATTCCAAGGCGGCGAAAAATCTATATGTTTTCACTTTTCAAAGGTTTTTTAAAGTTTTCACGTCTAACTAGTAGCAAAATACGTTGAGAAACACTGTAATTACAAAAACAGTTAGACAAATTCCCTTATGGAAAACATGGCCCCGCCCGAAATACTAAAGAACCTCGAATTTTGACAGATCTAGCCCTACCTGAATTTCTGGGTGTTAGGCGCCGGCTCGGCCTCCAGGGACAGCCCGTCCAGCTCGTGCTCATTTTCGATGACGTCGAGCCCGGAGAGGTAGGCCTTCACTTTGCGAACCATGAGCGCCTGCTCGTAGACCTTCTTGCGCGGTTGCCCGGCTCGATTCCCTTTTCGCATGGTGGCTACCGTGCCGGTGCCGTTGTCGAAGCTGTTCATGTACAGAAGGGCGTCGTTCACCGAGCCGCCGCTCTAAAATCGAATTAATTACTTTTAGAAGCATGATTTTGATAAATAATATCCGGCAAGGGTACGACTCCGGCCGACCCCAACTTTTGTATCTCGGCTCCCTGTTCATCTACAGGTGTGTGAAGTATACCAAAATGTTCGTCTTGCTATGGCGAGTATTTTGGTATACTTTACAGCCTTGTAGCGCGAAGGGGAATCAAGATCGTTGGTGCCGCCTAGGGAGGCGTCATCAGGAGTTCAGCCCCGGCACGGATTTTCAACGCGAAAATAACTTGGAAAAAGTAGCTTACTCTCTCCGCCATGCTTCCGATCTCATAAGGTGCCGAACTGAGCTTGTTGACCCTGCGAACTTCACGTGCAATCATTCTCAGCTTGTCGAAGTTGACCAGTTTATCGGTGTAGGTGGGGTTGCCCTCGTGGAGGAAGGTGAGATCCTAAAACACGTAAATACAAACTCCAGGCTTAGTCCAAATCTTCCCCAAAAAAAACGAGAACCGGGTTCCTTACCTTTTTAATGACCGGGAAGATGGGAACGACGGGCGGCTCCTGACTGGCCAGGGCCAAATGTTGCCGATATTTGGACATGTTACGCGACGGGTCGATGAGCGAGTGGATTTCTTCGAGGAACCGCGAGTATTTTCTGAATTCAGGATAGATGGATAGCTTCAAAATTAGTGCTTACCCGCCGACGCGTTCCCAGGTATTATGTAGGCGACGAACCGCCGGTTTGTCCAACCCAGAGACAATGGCGAACATTGAATTGAAGTTGCGCAGATCACGACAGTGCCTGGAAAAGCGGAAATAGAAATCCCGAACGTTCGGGTATAAGAAATAGCGTTAAAAAACTAACCGTGCAACCTTGATGAACTTTTTGACGAGCTTGGCCCTTCGCTGCGTACTCCTCTCACGACAAACCTCGGTCGCCACCCACCACATTTCGCGGTTAAACACCGTTTCGAATTCGTCGAGCCGAGGCCAGCCATACCTGGGAAAACCCCATGTTTTACAGCCAACATTCTTCTAATAACTCACCGGCTCTCCAGCTTGAACAACGAGTCGACGTATTCGGTCGGTTCGATCGAGGCAAAGACCGAAAAGTCTTGCAGGGTCAGCTGCGCGGCCAGAACCTGAAAAAATTTATATATGTTTTTATCCGATAAAACGAATAAAGAATTCGCAACGCAATTTATCGCCCAAAACTCAAGCTTGGACATTTTTCTAACTTTTCTAGACGGTTTTTACACCTGAAAATGTTAGCAAAAACACCATCAAAATCGCTACTAGTCTATACCTAGGCTTATAGGCGAAAATTTACCCCCCCCCGTTATTACGAAAGCACCTCAAAACCTTTTCCCACCTGTGCATTCAGCGACAAAATATGTGCATGGGCCTCTTTGATGACATCCGAGGCCAAATCGTCGGGCACGAGCGGCTCGCTGCGGTTGTTGTTCTTCAGGTAATACCTAAAACAAACAAAAAACCATCATCCAATAAAGAACCTCCTACCGGCTATTCAAACTGATCCTTTCGGCCAGGTTTTCGAGTTGTGGCGGCAGTTTGCGCTGCTTGATGACCAGCGGGTTTTTGGCGCTCTGCGTGAATGCTGTACTATAATGCCATCCGTTTTACCGTATTTTCAGTTGAAATATTCTCGCATACGGTCACCTCACACAGGGCCCATTCGAGCCCACTCTCGGCGGTCATGCTGAATTCCTGTAATAGCGTGGATGCGGCAAATGGCTCAAAACCGAACCTGTAGCGCGAGTTGCACGACGTTCTGTGCGGTGGTTTCCTTGAAGACGGGGAGATACTTGAATGTTTGGTCGGCCCTGTAGATCTTTAACACATGCTCGGGGCTGTCCGTTTTGGGCGGGCCGTAGAACGAGGAGATGGCGCTCAACAGGTCCGGGTTGGATTTGGAGGCCCGCACGATGTCGGTGGTCGTATCGGAGGCCTGAAAATTGGAAAATTATCCTTTGAACGGGCAATTATTTTTTTTAATTTTTTTTTTTTCCCCCCAAAGCGGAGGGGTTTTAAAGTTTTTTTTTTTTTTTTTTTTTTTTTTTTTTTTTTAAAAGATTTTGGGGGAAGAAAAAAAAAAAATTAAAAATTTAAAAAAAAAATAAAAAAAAAAAAAAAAAAAAAAAAAAAAAAAAAGGAAAGGAAAATTCTTGTTCTCTGGTCGATCCTTTAAAATCAAGAGAGGGTCAAATGAAAACAAAGGGGAAGCAGACAAGATTTCTAGCTATGACCCTATAGCCCAATTACCCGGATTAGTAGGTTCAGGAATTGTTCTTCGTTTATCTGAAATCGGATTGAGAAACTGATAACAAGATCGTATCAGAAAGTTGATTAAAATGGACAATATTTAGTGAAATATAGCTTTAGCTTTATGACCAACCGAATCAACGGCATCAATGTCTTTTGACGAGCGAATCATCGTAAACAACTTGTCCATATATCCCTTGTTCCCTAAAATATTAATTTGCTGCCGAACGCCGACAAGATACCGTTCATTTTGGCCTTGCTGTGCGTGTTGTTGTTTGGCTGAGCGCCGACACCCTTCACCGGGATGACGTGCGGCAGACCGTTCATCGGCCCGAAATGGTTTTTCTTCGCGTCGGCCTTGTCGTGTTTTTGGATCAGTTCCTGGAATTTGATAAATTTCTTATGGAACCCAAAAATATACACAAACCTTGAAGCCATTGATGTTGTTCTTCACGACGAGCTGCAACTTTATACTGCCCTTCAGCAAATCGATGGCCCGTTGAAGCGTGACAAATTTTAGCGTCTGGTCGTTGACCTCTGAAAATACAGTTTTAAAGAAAATTTCTGGTTGCTGAAACCTAGAATCTCGTCCGCCCGCTTCAGCCCGGCTTCTTCGGCCGCAGAATCCGGTAGCACGTCCGAGACAAAGATGCCGGCGCCCATTTCTTTGCCGCCGATCACCGAGAATTGCATTGGCTCATCCTGCAACGAAAAACGCTTTTGGCGCCAAACATTTTTCGCCGAACCTTATCCCTCCTCGCATATTTGATACTTCTCACTCGAGCCTTCACACTGCATGCCAGATTGAGTAGCGTCTGTTGCGCGTACATTTGATCTCGTTCAAGCGCCTGAAGGCAGCGGGATTAGAGTCTTGTGGGAGCACCGGTTACCTGCTCAAATCGCTCCAGCAGCTTGACCATTTCGCGGTTCGTCTCGAAATCGTTGTAATGGTTGTTCACCCATAACAACACTATTCGAGCGACACGATCACGGTACTGCGGTTCGGCAAACCAATGCATCAGTTTCTCGAAGATCATCACCGGGTCGTGGATGAATACCCTGGAAAAATAGTTTTGAAAGGGGCAGCGGTTTTTTCTCTATTTATTGTTTACTATTTTGTATTTAATTTTATTACATTATCAATACATACATAATTTTTATCATATGAACGAACTGTCGAATTAGGGTAAAACTGTACCGATAGGTGAGCAGGAAGTCGTCGATATAATTGGCGTCAACTTGCCCGTCGCGTTCTTCGACGAGGTGTGAGACCAACTTGTCGGGCTGGAAAAATTATTCGGTGATGGCAATAGTACTAAAAAAAAGAAAAAATGCGAACTGCCTCACTTTGGCCTTGATGAGGACGAGTCCGACTTGGGCACCGATGGCTCGCCTCTCAATTTCAGAGACGACCTCACCGGTCGCTTCGTCACGGCCACGCTCGATGTGTTCGCCTGGAAAGGATTTCATCTTTGAAAGAGAGAGAGAGAGAGAGAGAGAGAGAGAGAGAGAGAAAGCGAAATACTCCCCCGGCACCCACCGATCGTGCTCATAATCGAACAAAAATCGCGATGCTCAACCAGCACAAACTCGCAATCATCTACCATCGTACGCATATCGCCAGTGTGATATTGCACCTGCAAAATAAAGAAAAAATGCCCTATTTGTGGTCAGAATATACCGAATTCACCGCCTCGCAGCCAAACGAGTCGCCCAGCTTGAACTCGACGCGTTCCCCGGAGGGCTTGACCACTTCCACGCATCCGTTCACGATTACGGCCCTGAAAATTCGGGGTTTTTCCAAGAACAAATGACAAATTCTCACCATGCATCGATCTTTTCGTTGTTCTGCATGACGACGGTGCCCGCGTCGGGTACGACGGCGAAGACCATCTAGAAACAAAAGAATAACTTTATTTTATAGAAACTACTTATAGAAAAAACCTTTAACGCCTCAATACTCCCAAATACTGGGGAAAAATTGGCATCGTAAAGTAAGCAAATGCAACTCGCCTTTAAACATAGTTGTCGCTTAATCGAAACGGGCAACGAGGCAAAAGCGCTCATGTGCTGCATAAAGTCCAAGAGCACGGCGACGTCTTCAGAATTCCGCTCGCTCGGCTCCTTTTCGAGACACTCGCGTACAGAGTCCTGAAAATTGAGGTTGGTTCATGCGTGTTGTTGTTGGCAAGTGATCCGAGGGCATTTCAAGTCCACGATAAACAAGAGGATAACAGGGGGCAGGGGTGTTTGTTGTATCCCATAGCGTGAAGCCAACCAAACCAAAACAATTTTTAATTTTAAACAAAAATTTTTTATTTACAAACTAACCGGGGGAACAAATTTGACATTCATACGTATTTCTTTAATTTTGTCTCAAATTTTCTCAGCTTGTAAGAATAGCTTAGAAGGCTAAATATTATTATAGACCCGTCAGAAAAAAATTTTTGGCGATTTAAAACTGTAAACTAAATATATTTTAAAAAAACCGACCTTCAACTCATGATATCCATCGTGCGACGGAACACTTTCATCGTCTTCATCTTCAGAAACATCTCCATCTGCCGTTCCAGCGCCTCCGCCTCCTCCACCTCCCCGCCCGGCCACAGTTCATCGCCGTCACCAGTAGATGACGAGGCCGTGCTGCAAATTCATGTTGTCAATGAACGGATTTACAACAATTTTGGGACTTTTCAATTTTTGGAAAATAACTAGAGGAAGTGTTTCCAACTTTTTATAATTTCCAACGTAAAAATTTCAGGGATACGGTCCTTCCCCACGATCCTGCACCAAAAATAATAAATTGCGATAAAATTTAAACCTTGAAACACTTCCAAATTTTCTAAATAGCTTTTCTAGTTCAAATACACTAAAACATCTAAATTCTAGTAAAATACCATTGAAATCCTTGGTATTACACGCTTTTAGGCATATTTGGACCGCCAGGAAAATTCAGACATCACGTGATAGTAGATAGTATCGTATGCTATAGAAGAGCAGCCGTCGGTGAACAATACCTGCGTATCCGCTGTGCCCTTCCGCCGCCCGAACTGCCCACACTTCCCATCGAGCCGCTCTTCTGGCGTCGGTGCTTGACACGGACCAGCGTGTCGTCGTCTCCGGCACCGTTTACGAAAACCTGAAAATATTTTGATTTTTTTCAAGGGTTCCACAATTGAAAGTTTTCTAGGGGAAACTGATCCCTCAAAATCTGTGCGCTCTCCCGGGGCCCTCATATTTTATGGCATAGTAAAGCAGGGGGTGCTATGAGAGCCCCCTAGGGGGGTCAGTAAGTCGGCCGGGGCCAACCAAAAACCCGTTGTGGCCAGAAGGCAGTCAGCGCCCCCCAATAAATCGTGTCCCCGGCCCATTAACGAGTCGTCGATGGGCTGCTCTCGGGGGTCCAGCTTCACTTGTCCGAACCCGCAATAGAAATGACCAAAGAGCCTCTAGCAGAAGCTCTCAATTGACCGCTACCCGCTTTTGCTCCTCAAAAATGGCAGTAATGTTCCAATAAAACCGTGGAAGCGCTTTTACAGTGTTTTTTTTTGGATTTCTAAACGTAGAAATTTTACAATATCTGATTGTAAACTGCAAAAAAAAGAAACCGTTTACAGCCGAAGGGTCTCAAAGTTTTCGGTATTTTCGCTTAATTTTTCGGGATTTTTACAACGCCATTCGATAGAGCGTCAAAAAATGTGCCCAGAATTTTAATTTGAGCCCACAATAATGTAAAATAAAAAAGTTATAGCCAAAAAATTCCGGCTGGGGGGTAAAGTAAAGTCTAGCCAAAAATTCTACTAACTAGCTGCTAAAATTGACCGGAAGCCAATATATTGCGCGATTGGAGAAAGTGAAGCCTCAACCCAGCGAGTAGAGGGGAGAGAGAAGGGGAAAGGAAGGCCATTATACAGAGAAAAAAGACTGGATCGGATGGCAGACCCCCGCGAGGGGTGGTGAAGGGGAAGTGGGTCGACCCAGATGAATGGCAACCGCCATCCCATCAAAAATATAGCAACAAAAGACGATAATACAAGCATTAGAGGTTGTTTCGAGAATGCTATTAAAGTTGCTCAAAATACATACCTGCGTCTTTGACGTTGTCGGCACATCCATCGGGAAATCCATCGGGTAGGTCCTGGAACGAAAAGTTAGCTGAATTTTCAGGGCACAAAAAATGGCACATGGCAAAATTAGCCAACCAATAGTTACACAAAGGTACACTGTGCTGTACTGGGCTGCTAGCGAGAGGGGGCTAACTAATTTCCGCCTGACCTGCTGATGAGGTGTTTTTTGTACTCAGGAAAGCTAAACCCGCGGTCGGACCCGTTGTAATGGGTTCGACCGCGGTCGGAAGCCGAGAACGGGTTCGACCGCGGGTTGGAACCCAAGAACGGGTTAGACCACGGGTCCGACCGCGGGTTGGGAGGGAACGGGTTATGGGCGGGTTGAGGACGGGTTGTGAACGGGTCGAAGACGGGTTAACGGCGGGTTGGATGACGACATCGAGCTCCCAAATTTTTTCTATTTTTTGCAATTACTTGCGCGCCCAGTTCAAATCCCGGTTCTATTCTTCTTGTTTTAATTTTCGACCTAATAAAACTATAATAATAATGTAAAATTAATGCCTTTGAGTGTTAGCTACTTTGTTTGCACAAATTTCGAGGAAATCATCGCTGCTAGTGGTTTAGGATTAGAAACCGAGAGTTTTTTGGAAACGTACTCGTGTGTTTTTATATTTTCATTGTTTGAAGTGTTGATATGTTGCAGATTGTTGGAATTATCACTTTCTTTTTGGTAGACGACCTAGACAATACTTTAATATGTCCCGTCTGTATCAAATCGAATGAAATAAAGCTAAAAACATTGTCTCTAAACCTGGTAAGTTATCTCGTATATTCATATGCGCATATAACACATAGAGAACGATATCTATGTTTTATACGGAATGCGCAGAAGAATCTACGAGACAACTTGCAATATTTTTCAAGCAAAGTTTTAGCTTACGTAGCTCGTTTTTTTCGCAACTGAAACTTGTTAAAGTATATTACTTGGGTGATCTACCAAAAAAAAGCGCTACTTAGCGCAACGACCGAAATATTCGCTTACGAGCGCAGCACTATTATTGCTGTGGGAAATAGCAACTCTTAAAACACTGAAGGTATCTAAAAACACGATTAAGTGTTCCGTAGACATGAAATCTTGGCTAATGTAATTTCGGGAAGATAACTTGAGTTTCTAATATCACGCGAAGCGTGGTAATAGAAATATACGTCGGAAGGCGGGCGCGGAAGCGCCGGAAGTGGCTTGACTAGTGGCAATATCAGACCGCGGGCTGGAGCTGGGTTGAGAAAAGGTCCGACCCCGGGTTGAGAACGGGCCCGACCGCGGGTTGGAAGGCGGGATAAGAAGGGAATCGGCTGCAGGCAGACCCCGGGTTAAAGAACGGGTCCGACCGCGGGTTTAGCTTTCCTGAGTAGTTTTAGTGGGTTTGACTGCCAAACAGTTATAAAAACATAATTTTGACACTGACACATTTTAAAAATTCGAAAATTTTTACGTTGTTGGCCATTTTTCAAAATGTTTGCCATTCAAAAATTTTTCGAAAAAGCTTTTATGCGTTTTTACATATCGCGCTGCATAAAATACTAGAAAAATGATTTATATTTCATTATAGGACCGTACGGAGTTACTCGGAAAAATTTGGTCCCCCCGCTAGTGGTCCAGTACCGATTCTGCAAGGTCGGCTGCCCAGAAGCCCTAATCGAAAATGCATATCGCAAAGGGCCAGCATTGGGAAGATATAAACAAAAAAGGATATATTAGGAAATTCCGACGAAATATTTAGAACCCCAAAAACCCGGCGGCATTCTTTCGAAGCGTTTCCGTCGAAAGGGAAAGCACGTGTTTTGACGGGGCCCCGCACTTTTTAGCTTTTCAGCGCTGGGTGGGGCACATGTCCCCCGGGGGGTCACCCCGGATTCCGCGACACTCCACAAAGACGCGCACCCTCGAGGAGGGGTGTCGCGTCCACAGATATACAAGAAGAAGAAGAAGCCTCTTCTACGCATCGGGGGAAGCGGTCACCATGAAAGAAGAAGAAGAATCAAACGAGATGCTTCTATTTACCGTTCTCGCTTCGTCTTTTTCATTCGTTCGTTTCCCCCTGCGGCTACGGGACACACCAACAAACAGAGCGCTCCGCGGGGCGGGGGGCTCCGTGGATTCCGCGCGCGCTACCGATTCCGACCCGACCGGCTTGATCAGGGAACGAGGGATCGTGGTCAGGATGTGGGGAATTTGGGAGTGAGCTTGGTACTGGACTTTTAGCGGGGGGAGGGGTTAGCAGACCGGAAACCCAATTTTTCCAAGTCATCCCGAAGTATGGAACGAAGTATCAAGGATTTTTTATGGAATTTTCTACAGTTTTTCTAGAGATAAAAAAGTCATAGAATAATTATAAAAATTTTTCGGGACTTTTTGGGCTTTTGGTCACGGCTAAAAACTTACTAAAAAAGTACGAAATTTTGCAGATTTTCAAAACGTTTAAAAATATTTTTTAACTTTCCTGCAACCAAAAGCTACTAAAAAACATTATAAAATACATTATATAGTACTTTATATAGGTATAGTGGAAAAAAGCGAATTCCTCCACCAAACACGTTCCCGCTCAAATTCACAAAATGCATCAAAATCCCACACTAAATTTGCAAAGTAAGTCGGCACGGTGACAATTTGACCGTATGAAAATTCGGGACAGACGCAAAAAATGCCGGAAACGGTCGAATAGACAAGACGTACCGTGGCAATCCGCGACTCGGCCTCGGCGGCGCTGGCTGTCGAGGAGGACGGGGTGGAGGTGCTGGGGGAGGGGCCGACGCTTCGGATTGAGGAGCCGGAGGTGGAGGGGCCATTCTTCGACGATGCTCAGCCTGGACGATGGGTCGCGAAACCCCGGAGGGAGGGGGAGGGGCCGCGTTTTGTTGTGCCACGTCCGGGTAGTCGATCTGGAATTGGTGGATTGAGCGGGATGGAATGAAAATTGGCGCTTACAAGGAGTGACTTTTAGGCACAAGCGCATTTCCGGCACTGGACCAGCCCAAGCCTATCTTGGGCCGAATTTGGCGCTCATTTCGAATCTGGTTTCAAAGCCTGCGAAACGACCAGAATCGAGAATTTATGAAGGTTTTTCGTACAAAAAACGGCAAAAACTTTGGGAAATTCTTCGGGTTTGGGGGTTATCGCGCTTAAAGGTTTCATAGCTTTGTTATATTGGTCGTTTCCAGAGTTTGAAAATAGGTTCGGAATCAGCGCAAAATCCTGCACAAGATAAGGGGTGGTCCCGCCTGAAAACTCGATCGTAACTAAAAAGTCGCATTATAAGCAAAATTTTAAAAAAGACCCCAAGGAGTTTAGGAAGAGAGAGAGAGAAAGAGAGAGAGAGAAAGAGAGAGAGAGAGAGAGATAGAGAGAGAGAGAGCAGAAAATCTTTGAGTGACAATATAAAAACAGCTGAAGTGCGAGCTGGCTGCCCGTCCGGAGGCCTAATGCGCGATATCTACCCGCAGCGATTGTCTGTTCAGATAATGAAGAGGTCACTTGGCATTAGGCAATGGGTGACGGGAAATGGACGGCCCCCGCGGATTAGCCCGGACTTTTCTCTACCATTTAAGAAATATATTTCCGAAATACTTCTACGTTAAACCATCCCAAATTCCGGAGCACACCCGCCAACTCACCACAATCATCTCGCTGGTCTGCAGGCAGATACAATCGGTGGCCCGTCGACAGCTCAGGCCATTCCGCTTGCCGAAGCTAAAAAATGGTTTTATGCATAGTCGCGAAAAATTCCGGCAAGTATGATATTTTGAAATAACCAGACCCTTTCCGTGACCAGATTTCCAAGTAGCGGCGCAAAAATCGAGAGAGAAGTGCAGTTAGGGAGGAGGAAATTTTCAATTTGAAAACGTTCATAATGCATTTTTGTAATTTTGGAAATAAATTAATAAGACTATTTTTCTATTTGTGGTATATTCGAAGGTCGTCGGCGAAATATAGGCTTGTCGAAATATTTGGCATCTATAGATAGAAAACCAGGTAAGACTTTACTTTACTTTTCGGTTTTCGGTATTTTCGCTTATTTTGCGGGATTTTTGCAACGCCATTCGATAGAGCGTCGAAAAATATACTAAGAGTTTTAATTTTAGCCTACAATAATGTAAAATAAAAAATTTATAGCCAAAACGTTCCGGCTGGGGGAGGGGTAAAGTAAAGTGTAGCCGAAAATCATGTTAGAACTACTGGATCTTCAGGCCAAAAAAAATGACATCGCCCCCGGAAATTTCGGGACTTGAATTAAAAACTTTCGGTAAAAATGAGAAGAGAGAAGAGACAAATTCATTTAACTTTCCGGCTGGGGGTAAATAAAGTTTAGCCGAAAATCATGTTAGAACTACCGGATCTTCAGGCCAAAAAAATTTTCGGTAAAAATGCAGACAACAAATGAATTTAATAAATAGTCCAACGGTTAGCCGACCGTTTTAAACCAACGCTTTCCGAGTCAAAAGCCCCGTGGTGCTCGAGTGAGGAGGGAGGAGACCGGAATTCGGGCTGCTGGTATGTTTGCCCATAGGAAAGAAAGGTGCTGAAACGAATGCGGGGATTCGGGAGCGAGGAAAGAGTTGTAAATCGGGGCTATCAACCACACGAATCTCCCCCCGCACAACCACACATGGAACTGGCGAGGGGTAGCCCTGTGAAAACTGGCCACACAACTCTAACCCCAGGCATTTTCGGATGGGGGCAAGCGAATACGAAACTTTCCAGCGAACCAACCGCCTCCAGGGGCACGGATTAGCGGATTAAAGGGGGAGGGCACGACGACCTGTACGCGAAAGGGGAGCTCAACGGAACAAAGGAATGGCAAAACTCGCGGGCAAAACTCGCAGAAAACGTATATGTCAGGGTTCGTCATAGCTACAGTAAATTAGAGAATGTTGGCTTGCGGTGAAGCCTATTTAATCCAGTTTGCGTAATATATTTGAAAAAAGGTACTGGACTGTTAGCCGGGGGATTTTAGCAGGCGGGAAATTTATGATTTTCGGCCTATACCCAGCTGCTAATAATCAATAGTGTATTTTATATAGTGTTTTTAGCAGCTTTTGTTGGCTAGCAAGTTCCAAAAAAAATAAATATTTTTTGAAAACTCGAAATTTGGACCTTTTTGGTGATTTTCATAGATTTTCGGCCAAACAGCCAACCTTTTCGAAATTTGCATAATCTTGACGAGTTTTTTTATAGAAAAAACCCGTGTAAAATACTATAAAAATTGTTTATATTTTGTTGCCGGGCTGTACAGGATTACTGGGAAAATTATCCCCCCCCCCGTTAACAGTCCAGTACCAAATAAAAATTGCAAGGCCCGGAAAGCCAAGCTGCGAAACCATTTCCGGAACTGCTAATTTGCACCCGATCAATCCATCAAAATGGCCACAACGTCAACAAAATGTCCGGGGGAAAGCCGGAAAAAAGAGGAAAGGGGGCAGTGTGGCCTGATCGATCGCTTGGTGATAGTGATAGCTTCAAGAGGGGGAAGAGACACAAGCAACTCGACGATTGTTGCAAGCATCAGCAGTGATTGTGCCCAGCTGTGCGAGAAAAAGGCAGAGGGAGGGAGATGCCCAAAAAGAGGCGTCGTAGCGGACAACCTGAAGCGGACGGACAAGCGAGGGGTCGTAAAGGCGAGGCGGGCGCGCCGGGGGCGATTGTTCCGGCTGAGGCGCCGCCGAATAGGTAGAGAGAGAGAGAGAGAGAGAGAGAGAGAGAGAGCGTGTTTATAGAAAGAGGGAAAGGGTGAGGACACAATGAGTCAAGGCTCGGAGAAGGGCCCCCTTCCGATCGCTTCAATACCCTTGTACAACCATGACTAAACGACTACGTGGTGCTACCGCAAAACGGGTGCCCGGAATGAGTGGTACTAGCAATCCCTAGGAAACCCTCCCCCAGCTCCTCATCGATTCTCAACAAATACCTTCCTAACTTTTCTTTTTCCACCGCTTAAAGGGGCAAAGAATTCTGGTTCACAACCTTCAGCGTTGATTTCTTAATTTAAAAAACTAGACCCGAGAACCCCCGAGATCGCTGAACTAAGTGTTTTACAGGGCATTAAGACATGTAAAGCCCGCACGTCGAAAAACTCGATTTAGTGTGCAAAACACTGTCTTTTTTCCTCTCAAATATTTACCGTTTTCCCCCATAAATGCGCTGAAACTCGTAGAGAGCACCCCTCCGTTTTTGATGCGTATTTTCGATCCCCGGGCGCACGATTTTGACTTCTTGGCCCCTTTAAACACCTTTTTTGAAAGCGCAAACGACTCATCATCTACGGTTACGACTTTTTACAAACCCGGTCTATCAGCGGTCAAGGAGCGGGCCGAGGTGGCGCAGAATTGGATCAACCTCCCGATTTTCAGTCCACCCCCGCTCTCTCACTTTCTGGGCGAAAGCGCCGATCAGAGCCCGCCACCCTATTTTGCATCGTTTTTGCCGAGAAACAAAAAAAAAACTACCGTAGACGGGGCTGTCGGAAAATGCGGAAAGTGGATTTCAGTTTCTTAGCTTGAATCCAAAAAATTTAAAAGAGAAACTCTGGAATTCTTACCTAATTTTTGGGCAAAAACTACTTCCCCACTTACTTGCTCTTCTCATCGGGCAGGCTGGAGGCTTTTCGTGAAGCGATCGCCTTTTCCGGAGAAATTGAAGGATGAATAGAAATAATGATGCGGTCAGCTGCGCCCTTCGGGACGGGCTTCGGTGACGGCGGCAATGGGCGAGCAGCAAACGACAGCTCGGCTTGCAGTCGAATGAGCTCGGCTTCAAACGAGTCCAAAACCACCGACCCCAGCTTCCCATAGTCCTCTTGGGGCCCAAAGTAGGGCACGTAGATGCTTTGAGGGCCGAAATCTTCAAAATCGACTGGGCCGGGGGCCTGTGGACAGCTGAATATCTGGGTTTCGAGGATTTGAAGCTCTGGCTCAGGTGTTTCGATTTTGGCTTCGAGCTCCAGTCTCTCAAATCGGCCCTCCGACACGGGACTTGGGTCCTGAAGCTGGAGGGCGGATTTGGTAACCAGCGCCTCCGCCGGAAGCTTGGCCGATGCTACGGTCTCTCGAAACGTCTGGCTATTGTCAAGCATCATTTTCCCGCGTTTCAACGCCCAAGCCGGCCGCAACTTTTCAATTAGCTGGACGTCTTCGTCGTCTTTTGCCGTTTTATCCGTATCCGTATCCGACATCGGATCAGGGCACCGTTTGTCCTCAACAAACGAGAAGAAATCGGCGTCGTTGTTGTTCGCATCCAGATCCTCGGCCCCTTCCGAAATATCGGATAGCGGGGCATAGAAACGACGTTCCCCTCTGAGGAATGCATCTCTGGCAGCGTCGGAGGCTTTGGCCAGGCCGAGTGGTGGAGGTGGAGGTAGAGTGGGGGCTGGCGGAAGTGGCAAGGGTCGAGTTGGGGGTGGCGGGATTTTGTGTGTCTAGAAGCCATCCGTACAATCATGCTTGGGCTTAATAATCAAACCGCCTAGGTACTGGAGTGTTAGCGGGGGGCGAGGATTTTTAGCGAGCGGGAACTAATTTTTCTTTTTCCGCTTTTGCTAAGAGATCGTGTATTTTTATAGTTTTTAGCGGTTTTACAAGGCTAAGAACTACAAACATTTTTTTAATCTTGAAAATTTGGAATTTTTTAGCTAGTTTTCATACATTTTTGGCCAAAAAGTTAAAATTTTTCCAAAATACATATTTTCCAAAAACTTTTTATATCTCAAAACTATGCACAAGACTATTAAAAATGGGTAATATTTCGTTATAAGGCCGTATGGGATTACCCGGAAAATTTGCCCCCCCCGCTAACAGTCCAGTCGCCTGCCCAATAATTGCCATCGTAATATGCGAAAATTCTTCGTTTTTTTCAGCCATTAAAAGGATTGTTTTGACCTAGGAATTCCCATCTGCACTACTTTTACTAACCTGCACAAACGAAGCAACAGAATATTCCTCTTCCGCCTCTTCGGTAACAATAGAGCACCGACCGATCGCTGTCAAATTGCGGTCGGCAGCGCCGAAGCTCGCAAATCGCCCTTCCGATGATTCCTGATCCGGAATCTCGGGCACCGGAATACGCGGCACCGGGGGCAACCGCTGAGCCATCCCTTTAGAGAGCACAAGCCGTTGAATGGGAAACCCAGAAGGTGACGGAACTGATCACCAAGACGGCGACTCTCGGCCCCACGGCGATGCCCAAAGTAGGGCACCACACCCGACCCACACAGCCAGTTTCCGCGCAGCCACCAGAAAAGCGCCTGGAATTAGACCCCGCGCGTCAACCCAGCGGCTGGCTTTCAGTCCAAATCGAAATGTGATACGGGATCAGAGAGGGGCAATCAAACGGTACGCGGGACAATGGGACTGACACGAATCCTGGGAGAGTGAAAACGGTGAATGGCAAAAAATGGAATGCACGTGCACCCGGTTAGGGATATTTTTGAAGGGATAAGGACAGCAAGAAAGGGTTGGCAGTAGATGAAATACAGGGGATAGCGATGATTTTTACACCATTCGAAAGCTCTCAAAAATTCATGGTCACGGAAAGGCCCTACGTCTAGCAAAGCGGAAATTGATAATTCCAATCAGCCAAAACGCTGCTGACTCACCAGCCATAAGGCAGCAAAATATGGCTTTCGATGAGGACGGAACCGGAGAGTAGAATGTACCAGCACGTCGCCTTCTGCTCCTTCCTAAAAGGTTATTATATCGTATCCTATTTTGATTATTTACTCGTTTAACTATTTGCAAACCTGAACAGAATATGATGTGCCGGGTGTCGTTCGTATCGAGCACTTCGACAAATCGCCGTCAGCGGCCCCGTGAAAAGGTGGGCGAACATGTCGAGCCCCCGCAGCTTTTCGAAGATATTCCGGACATCCTGGCGGCTGTTTTACTTTGCAACTTCGTGCTCACCTCATCGGTCCTTCGCCGCGGATCCTTGATGAGTGACTCGTAGAATCGGGCGTCATTTATTGGATTTATCAAATCCATAGACGCCCAAAATACTGTCCCCTGTAAAAGAATAAATTAGGCCGTGAAAAAGCAGCCATCCTGCGAGAAAAAAGCGAGTATGGGTGCCTTATCAAAACGGGCTTTCTCAGTCACATAAATTCAGAGAGCAAACATTTGTCGAAAGGGAAATTGGAAACCAATAATAGTGACGCACCGATTGGGGCTGGAGGGCTGGAAGAGGCAAAAAGAAGACTAAAAAACGTCAAGCAACAGATGTTGAACAGGCTAGCGATTAAAAGTGAAGCTTATAGCGCGAGGATGAGTATGGTGGCGACTTCCACGCGTTCCAGCGCCGCTCTATGGGATAGTGGGATCAAGGGGGGAGCTCTTTATGCAAGTGTATCCGAGCCGCCCGAGGTGTGAAAAGGCGACGCGACTAGCGAATAAGGGATTGAAGGAGGCAATCAATCGATGCTGCATTCGGGCAGTCGGCCAGCAGACCTTCTCGCGCGCCCCCCAACCATCCCATCCCCCCTCTGCACACTGAACAAACGCCGAGGGTAAGGACGCCGGCGGTCCAAAGCCCTCCCTCCACCCCCGATCCTCGCCACTTCACGGCCCCGCCGACACCCCATCAAGCCGCTATTGAGGACAACGGAGGGCCCGAGGCGGCCCACTTCACCTCATTACCCATCGCCGTCTGACGGCAGAGACTTACAAATGGCGGCTAATCGACTTGCGCAAATTGGTTGGCCAACGCAGGGCTAGAAAGTGTTTCGGAATTGGTTGACTTTTAGTTTTGGTTGGGAGTTAAAAAGCGGTAGTGGCTGAATTCTAGCTAAAGTCGTCGGCAGAGCGATTTCTTTATCAAGATCACCCAGTGATGGAATTTGATCAAAAATACTCCCCAGGGACCATCAGAGAAACATCTGCCCGAAACCGAATTATCAGACAGAATTTTGTGCAAAAAATGGAAACATCGTGAAGCGGGAAAATCGTTCCTCTAGTGACGCTTTCAGCTGCTACACTAACGAATATGGTGCTTAAACTCATCGATAAAAAATTTAATAAGGGCAGTTTATTTCCAAAAAGGTTTTTCCTAAGCGGCCGTGTAACTAAAGAGAGCAGATTTAAATAGCGGCTTCGAATGGTCTCACCGATTATTTTTATGGCGGTAAACAAAACGAAAACAGGATAAACGCTTAAAAGGCGATCGAAAGTTGTTTTTCTGGAGGGGTCAGAATGAATTTTGAATAATTTTAAAGGATTCAGTGTAAAAAACTAGGTTTTTTAAACTTTTTCTTCAACCCCGCTTTGCATTACGGCGCGATTTTCAGCCGGCCGGCAACGCGCCAATACAAACACCGTGCTGAAAGGTGTTGCGCTGGGCTCAAACGCCCGCTCCCCCGCGGGACCCTTTTTCTAGTAAAATACCGTAGGATTTGGCCAGTCCCTGGATTTACTAGAGTCGAACTTCTCGGCTCTCTCGCAACGTTGAATCTATCTTTATTCTTATTCTTGACGTTTTTTAAACTAAATTTATACTATTTTGAAATTTCGCATTCACCGTTTCCTGTCTGCCCTATCATGTGCCTGCGATATCATATATAGCGCTTGCGATCGTCGTTTTCCCTTTCCCCTTTTTTTCTCTTCCTTTTCATCGATTCTTTTCCAGGACCACATCCCAAACATGGCCAACGAGCAGATGAAGCTGCAGGGTACCCTGGAGGGACACAACGGATGGGTCACCCAAATCGCCACCACCAACCGTGGTGACAGGACGACTGTTATTTCCTCGTCGCGAGGTTCGTCACTAGAATTTGCTTTGTAATTTGCTTTTAGATAAAACGATTATTGTGTGGGATGTCGACAACTCTTCCCTAAACGAGACCGGCCAAGTTGGGCGCCCGATGAAGTCCCTGCACGGCCACGGACACTTTGTCTCGGATGTTGTCATTTCTTCCGATGGTCAATTCGCGCTCTCCGGCTCGTGGGACAAGAGCTTGCGGCTTTGGGATCTTGCCACGTAAGCTTTTATCGAATTTGGGTGGCGTGGTGCGCAGTTTGTCCGAATTTAAGTGCTTTATCATTATCGACATTTCCATCCCCTAGTCATTGTGCTTTTTAGCGGCCAATCTACTCGACGATTCGCCTCTCACACCAACGATGTTCTGTCCGTCGCTTTCTCCGCCGACAACCGACAGATCGTCTCTGGATCCCGCGATCGCACGATCAAGCTGTGGAACACCCTCGCCCAATGCAAATACACTATCACGGTATGTTTATTTGCGGTTAGGTGTTACGTAGAATTTTTTGCTCTTTTTTTGACATCCTTCGGATCTGAAACCAATATTTTGTTTCGTTCGCTACTCAGAACTTTCATTTTAGGAGGATTGCCACACTGACTGGGTCTCCAACGTGCGTTTCTCCCCCAATGTCCGCGAGCCTGTCATCGTGTCGGCCGGATGGGACAAGGTCGTGAAGGTCTGGAACCTCGGAAACTGCCGCCTGAAGACCAACCACAAGGGACACACCGGCTACATCAACACTGTCACCGTCTCCCCCGATGGATCTCTGTGCGCGTCCGGAGGCAAGGACGGCCAAGCCATGCTCTGGGATCTCAATGAGGGCAAGCACCTCTACACCCTCAACGGAAACGGTGTTATCAACGCTCTCGCCTTCTCGCCCAACCGTTACTGGCTCTGCGCGGCCGTCGGACCCGTTGTCAAGATCTGGGATCTGGAGGACAAGCGCGCCATCGAGGAGCTGAAGCCCGAAGTTGCCTCAAACCGCGGATCCGCCGCCCCGCAATGCATTTCGCTCGCCTGGTCGCAAGATGGACAAACGCTCTTCGCTGGTTACACGGATAACGTTATCCGTGTCTGGCAGGTGTCTGTACGAAAATAAGCCATTTTGTTGATTTTGTTATATGAATAAAGTTTGTTAACATCTTTGTACCCAACCAATAAAACTTATCACAGCCTAATTGTACAAACACATCCGGAGATTAGTTTGAAACCAATCATATTCGTCACAGAGTGCTTCAATTATTTTTTTCAATTGTCAGATGGGAAACCGTGAAGAGCTGATTGGCGTGGCGATCCGTTTCGCGGCGGCGGGATTGTTGTCGTGGTTGACCGTGCGTTACATGGTCCGCTATCTGGACCCTGCACGCGAATCGAAAGAAGAGAACAAGAAGAAGGTTGACAAATTGTTCGCGCAGCTTGGCATGACGCAAGGCGTGGAGTTGAACGAGCACGAATTGAGGATAGCGACCCAGTTTGTGCTGGCGGAAGATGGTGCGGATTGGGATGAGATTGGAGGGTTGGTGCTGCATGTAAAAATTCATTGTGTTTAGTTATGAAGATTTAATTGGCGAGCTGCAAGATCGCGTCATTCTCCCGTTGAAGATCGCCGTTGAGTCGAAAAGCAAGCTGCTCACGCCCCCGAAAGGTTCTTTCCGGAAAGTTTCTTTATATAACTTGTGCTATCTCAGGTGTGTTGCTGTACGGCCCACCGGGATGCGGAAAGACATTGCTAGCGAAGGCCGTCGCAAAATCATCTGGATGCCGGTGCATTTCGGGACCTTGGTTTAATTCCATTTAGTTTTATCAACTTGCAAGTTTCCGATCTGACGGACAAATGGTATGGCGAATCGCAAAAATTGGCGGCCGCTGTGTTCTCCGTTGCGCTCAAGTTCCAGCCCTGCATTATTTTCATCGATGAAATCGGTAATATGGTTTAGACGTTGACTAACTTCTTTTAGACTCGTTTCTCCGCGCTCGCGCTTCACATGATCACGAGGCAACGGCGATGATGAAAGCGCAGTTTATGCAGCTATGGGATGGTTTTGCTACGACGACGGCGCAGGTATGGGCCATTGTTGCGTTTATGTAAAAATGTTTAGGTTATCGTTATGGGTGCCACGAATCGACCCACCGATGTTGATGCAGCTATTTTGAGGCGGATGAGTGCAAAGTAAGTGTTTTTTATGTGGCCACAAATTTTCTCAGATTTTACGTCCCGTTGCCGAGCTCGAATCAAAGGAAAGGCATTTTGGAGGTGCGACATTTTCAGTCAAACAACAATTCGATTTTTAGGTTGTCTTAAGAAACGAAAGCATCGATGAGGGATTGGACTTGAGTGTGGTGGCGGAGGCGGCCGAGACTTTATCCGGCTCCGATTTGAAAGAGGCAATTCTTTAACTTCGGAAGATTCATGAATTTTGTAGGTCTGCCGATTGGCGGTTTTGAATCGCGCAAAAGAAACCCTCTCGGCCGGGCAGGGGCTGTGCGATCAGGTATACACAGTCTTTAGGTTCCAAACCTTTTTTAGGGCCCACTTTCCTTCAACCATCTCAACTCGGCCCTGCTCAAGTATCGCTCGGCCCACAACCTTATGAACGGAAAGCTCACACACGATTTTGATCTGGAATAGCCGCTTAGAAACACAGTATTTTTGTGACTACTTTTACTCGAAACCCTAGGCTTTTTTTGGCCGCCGCCATGTGTGTTTTTTTCGTTTGGACTACGGGTACCCTTTTTGCGATGAGTATGCTTTTTCCCCGGTAATAAAGAGTTTGAAATTTCCGCATTTTCAGCAAAAGCTACCTTCATGATTTACCGCCTCGTGGGGGTTATCCATCATTTTGGCGCCTGTTACATTTCTTCGGGGCCTGAGCCATTTATTGTGGAGCAACGTCGGGGGCCAACTGTCCCCCATCGGCACTTAATTTCACGCAATTTGCTGTTAGAAGTGCTTCGCTTGATTTTATCTGGCTGTTATCTTTGGATTTCCTGCGCGTAGGTTGTCGCGAAAAGACTGGAATCGTAGGTTGCCGTTTTGTTTCATTAGCGGGGGGAGGGGGTTTATTCTAACATTTTTGCGGAACTATTTCAACGCAGTCCGATACGGCAACGACAATTTACTACGATTTAATTTTAGCTGAAAACACCGTAATTTAAAGAGAAAACCCCTAAAATGGTAAGCTTTGATAAGGTTTTAATTTTGGCTTACCAAGGATTTAAATGAGGTTGGTA